CCCCGCCCGAGCCCTGCCCGGCGCTGCCCCCCGCGCACCTTCCCGGCCACCCGCCCGAGCCGGACGATGCCGAGTTTGAAGTCGGTCATGGCGGGGCCGGGCCGGGGCCGCCGCGCGCCCCGAGCCGCTGCCACGCGCCGCCGCCTCGCGCACTCCCGGGGGGCGGGGCCGCCGCCGCTCCGCCCACCCGCCGCCACCCACCAATAGGAGACCGCGCCACCGCCTACCCGCCGCGCTCCGACCAATGCCAGCCCCGCGCCGCCGCGCGTCACCCCCGCGGCGGCCAATGGGCGCGCGGCGCGCCGCGGGGAGAGTCACGTGGGGCGGCGGAGGGGCCGCGCGCGGGCGCGGGAGCGGGAGGCGAGGGCGGTGACGTCACGTTCGCGGGAAGCCGCGTGCCGCCGGCAGAGGGGGCGGGGCCGCGCTTAAAGGGGCCGCGCACGTCCGCGGGGAGGGGGACAGACCGGGAACCCCCCCCGAGAACCCTCCCCGGGAACCCCCGCCGGGAACCCCCCCGGGGCAGGCCGGGAAATCCAGGAGCGGAGGCTCCCGCGGGGCCGGGGAAGCCCAGGCTCGCTGCCCGCACACGTGGTGCGGGCGCTCCCCGCCCGGGCGGGCCGACACCGGCGCGGGGACACGGACACACCCCCGGGGCCGTGCGCGGGAGCCGCGTCCCGGCCGGGGCCGGAGCTCGGTGCGGGATCATGGAATCGAGGAAGGACCCACAGGGACCATCCAGTCCAACCCCTGGCCCTGCTCGGACACCCCAACAATCCCACCCTGTCCCTCGGAGCGTCGTCCAAAGGCGGTGGAAGGGCCGAGCCGCAGCCCCGGGCGGTGCCCCCGCGGTGCGGGCCGAGCAGGAGGAGCGCGGGGGCACTGGGGTCACATCGTGACTGCTGCCCCAGCCCTGGAGTGTCCAAGGCCGGCTTGGACGGGGCTTGGAGCAACTTGGGCTAGTGGAAGGCGTCCCTGCCCATGGCAGGGGGTGGAATGAGAGGGGCTTTTGGGTCCCTTCCAACCCAAACTGAGCTGGGATTCCCTGATTCCCATGATCTACTTGTGACAAAACAAAGTTACAAATCTCTAGGGCAGAGATTTCCTCTCCTGAAAAATGTGAACAAGGAACGTGGGTTTTACCCTGGAAGCATCTAAATGAGTCAAATGTTAAATCCAAGGATGAATCCTGCTTTTCTGAATCATCCCTGTGATGCAGCAGCCCCACGGGAGGGGATTTCCCTTGAGGCTGCAATGATGAACTGTGGAAATCAGGCACAGGAAGCCGTTTGGAGCAGCCCATTATTGCTCACTGACCCACAAGATTTAGGGAGCACCTAATTCTGCAAGTACTGCCCCACAGAGTGAGCACAAACCTGGGCTCTTCCCTCACAGAATCACTGAGGTTGGAAAAGACCTCTGAGACCATCAATTCCACTCCCCACCTGGTCCCCCAGCCCAGAGCACTGAGTGCCACACCCAGTCCTTCCTTGGACATCTCCAGGGTGGGGGCTCCACCTGTGCCCACTGCCCTGGGGAGCCTGGTCAGTGCCCAACCACCCTCTGGGGGAAGGACCTTTTCCTGAGATCCAACCTGACCCTGCCCTGACACAGCTCCAGGCGTTCCCTCAGCGTGGCATGAAAGCTGGCAAGTGTCTGGGATTTCAGCTGTGCTTCTGTTTTATTCCATGGCTGTCTCAGAAAAAGGCCCTACAAAGAGCTGGGGGAAAAGCAGGTGAAAGTGCAGAAAAACCCCAAACTCTCCAACTTTCACACTCCATCAGCTGAGGCTGCAAAAAACCTGGTGCTGCTGCACCCAGGGCTGGGGACAGGCAGGGAATGAGAAGCCAGCACAGGCCTGGACCACGGGCAGAGCTGCCCCAGGCACAGCCCAGCTGTGGAGGAACAGACAGATCCCTAAACTTGTGGGTTCTGCAGGGCCCCCCATGTCTGGGAACACCCAGGTCAGGCTTTGGTCACTGTTTTAGGCATGAGGAGGGTCCAGCTCCCCCCTCCATCCTGCAGGCACACACTGGGATGACCTGTACAATTCGTGTTTCCAGAGCTGTTGGGTTTGGTAAAAATGATTTTGTTTTGCTCACACCTTTCCTCCTTTCACTACAACCAGACTTGAGGCTCTGTGGTCCTCAAGTCACCAGGGCAGGGGGACTTTTCATCAGGAGAAAAGGCCACAAGTGGATCTCCTCAGAATCATAAAGGCACCAGGCAGCCCAAACTCCTCCACCCCTGGGAGCTGCCAGCCTGGCCTTGCTCCAGAGATCCTGGCAACTCCCTGGGAGCTCAGTGCTGGTGCTTCAGTGAACATTCCAGACAGCAGGACCATGGTGGGAAACAGATGGGATTCACAGCTCCTTTTGGCTGGCCTTGCCCCTGACCTGTACTTTAGATCTTGCGAGGACAGGGAGGAGAATTCCCACTTCCCAGGAGCCACCTTTGTGATGTTTTACCTGTTTCATTTGTAGATGCTTTAACAGCAGCAGAGCAGGCAGGAAGCTGGCCCTGTGAGTTTGGTGTTAAATCACGTGCAAATATGATTTCTGAGGGTCCCACTGCCAACACAACCTACGTTCGATGCTTCACAAGCAGCACGAGACACATTCCCGGGGCAGGACTGGGAGACAGCAGCCCAAGCTTTGCTCCTGGATTAACCTGGAGCAGTTTCAGAATGGTTCAGGGTAAAGAGAGCACTGGAGGTCACCCAGTCCCACCTCCCTGCTCAACAGGGGCCCCTGGAGTGTTCCCTCAGGATTCTCTCCAGAGGGGTTTGGAATATTTCCAGGGACAGAGACTCCACAGCCTCTCTGAGCTCCAGTGCTTGGTCACCTGCACAGCAAAGTCCTTCCTCCTGTTCAGGAACACAAAAGTTCAGTTCCACCAAACCAGCCCCCCCCCTGCTCTGCACCACCTACAGCTGCTGAGGAACTGCAGTGCCTGGTCCAACAGAAAACACCCCATCAGCTGGATACCCTTCAGGAACAGCCACTGCTCCAGGGGTGCCCATCTGCTCCCTCCTGCAGCCAATTCCCCCCTGCAGCCCCCCCTCCTGCTGCCCCAGCACCTTCCTGCAGATCCTGGGCAATAATCCAGACCCTGGGAGAGAAATTTTAGCAGCCCAGACAGTGCAGGTACCACTCTCTCTCCTGCACCCCCTGCAAGTGGTGGCAGAACTATTTTGTTTCCTCCTTCTGCAACACACTCACCCCTTTAAAGTCCTGCTCCAGCCATGACATTTTCCTCTGGAGCTGTAAATTCCCTGTAGGAATAACTGAGTTGTTTGCAAAACTGAAGAGACACTGGCAGGAAAATGTTGATGAAGTGTCGTCACCACTTTGCAGGGGAGGAAAAGACCCTGCAGAACGTTTTTCTGAGACCAAGGCACACACAACTCAGCCTCTTGGGAAGAATTTCATCCCCTTTTGCAGTGCAAAAACGGACCTAAATTAGGATTCATTGCTGGTTTTTTCCCTGTTAGGGCTGAGGGAAACTGCAATCGTGAGCAGCTGGTAATGGGGCTGCTACAATATCCCAGTGCCAGCTAAAGCACTTATTTCAGAATAATTTCACTTCAACACTAACAGAGCTTTTCCCAGCCTGGAAGAATCCATGTGCTGTGCTGCTTCAAGGGAAAATCCAGCCTCTGGAGGGAACAGAGCACCATCTCCTCAGGATCTTTGGTCCTACCCCCTCTCCAGCTGTCCCAGTAACAGCCAGAGCTCTCAGCTGTGAGAGCCAAGTGTCAAACACCAGGTAGCACAACAAGCACCAAGCTTGGAATACACAGGAACATTCCCAGATGTTTAACAGCTCAGAGTGCTCCAGGTGAACTGAGGTTCCTCCTAGTACCAGATCCCCAAACAACATTTACATTTCCTTGAGAGTTCTGCCAAAACAGAGCATTTTTAGTGAGGCTAAACCTTCTGATAGTTCCTCACTGTGCTTCTCAACAGCCACACTTCCATCCCTGCCCCAATCCTTCCAGAATGGGCACAGACACCTTTCTACATCCAGCAGGGATGATGCCTTTCCTCCAGGAAAGTGTTCTTCATAGGACAAACTTCTCTTGTCCACGAGCAGCAGCTCCTCAGAGCAGGCCGGGCTGGCACAAAAAGCCAGAATATTCACTGCTCAACACCAGTTCTGAGGCTCAGCCAGGGTTTAGGGGCCATTTCTTATTTACAGAATGTCTGGGAAACACTTAAGTGGCTCATTTTTCTTCCAGAGATCACACAGGAGAGCACAGTGCAGAGGGCCTGTACTGCTCCCCCCAGTATCACCAGTCAAGGAACTGGGAAACAAGAAACACCAGCCTGGGCCCTTTACAACACAGGATTCCCCTCACACAGACTCACAGCTCTCATGATGCAATAAACCATAAAATAAATTCAACTCAAGAACAAAAATGTCTGTTCTCATCCTGGTCACCAGGAAAAAAACCCCAGAACTTCCTCTGCTTCAAGGCAGGGGAAAATTTTGAGCAAAAAATTCCAACCTGCTCCCCCAGAACCTGGGCCAGAGGCTCCTCCTGGTAGTACCATCCTGGAAGGCAAGGTAGGGACTGCCAGGTACATGGAGCTGCATTCCTGGCTCCAGTGGTTCCTGGGAATGCTGACTGCACATCCATTCCTTGAATTCTTTTCTGACAGGGACCAGTCAGAGCCCTTCCACCCCACAGGCCTGTGAAGCCACTCTAGGCACACGGTTCAAAGAAATCTCCCACTTTGGAAGGGACCCCCAAGGATCATCCAGTCCAGCTCCTGGCCCAGCACAGACACCCCAACAATCCCACCCTGTCCCTCAGAGCCTTGTCCAAACCCTCCTGGAGCTCTGGCAGCCTTGGGGCTGTGCCCACTGCCCTGGGGAGCCTGGTCAGTGCCAACCACCCTCTGGGGGAAGAACCTTTTCCTGAGATCCAGCTTAAACCTCCCAACACAGCTCCAGCCATTCCCAGCACGAGACAGGGACAAACTGAACCAGCACCACTGTTTGCAGACAACTGGGTCTTTTATTAAGTATTTAAAGTGCTACAAAAAACTGAAGGAGCCTTCATGGAGCAACTTCCTTTTCTGCAGTCTTTAGCTCTGTTGGAAGAAGCAAACACAGCTCATTAGTGGAGTCATTTAGCAATTAAATGTGATGCAGCAAATAGAGCTGGGCACTCACAGCCGGGCACTCGATGGCTCCGCTGTTGATGTCGTCGATGATGTCGTGGGGGTGTCTGCCATCGATGCTGCAGCCCACAGACTGGGCAGTGCCCAGGATCTCCTTGATGGTCCCTGCAGCAGGAACACACAGCTTGTCAGTGCTTTAGCACAGGGAAACATCTGAGAACTCACTTGGAACACCCTGGGCTAGTGGAAGGTGTCCCTGCCCATGGCAGGAGGCACAATGAGATGAGCTTTAAGGTCCCTTCCAACCCAGACCAGTCTGTGATTCTGTAACAGAGAACTCCTCACACCTCTCAGCTGTCCCTCCCTCTGGGGGTTTGCAGGCTGGAGCTCACCAGGAGACAGCAAGTCACTTATCCAGCTCTCATGTCCTGGTTTCCCAGGGAATGCACTGGGAAGTGCTACCTGTACCTGTCCCCTCCCCAGGGGTTCGGGCTCCCAGCCAGCACAGGCTGTCCCTGTGGTGCTCAGCATACATGGCTGTGGGCCCTCACAGAACTGGAGCAGAACCTGGCTCAGACACCTGGAGCAGGCAGAGGGAGCACTCCAAATCCCTGGAGCAGGCAGAGGGAGCACTCCAAACCCCTGGAGCAGGCAGAGGGAGCACTCCAAACCCCTGGAGCAGGCAGAGGGAGCACTCCAAACCCCTGGAGCAGGCAGAGGGAGCACTCCAAGCCCCTGGAGCAGGCAGAGGGAGCACTCCAAGCCCCTGGAGCAGGCAGAGGGAGCACTCCAAGCCCCTGGAGCAGGCACAGGGAGCTCTCCCTGTCTCCCAGTCCCAGGACTCACCCGAGAGCTCCCGAGCCAGGGACCTGTGGCGCATCTGCCGCGCGATGTTCACGATCTCGTCGAAGGTGACGCTCCCGCTGTGTTTGACTGTGAGGGGACAGCAGCAGTGAGGACACCTGGGCACAGGCACTGCCACCAACCCCTCAGCAGCACCATTCCCAGTGCCCTGACCCCATGGAAAGCTGGGAGCTCCCAGCTCTAATGGGACTGCCATCAGTGCTCCTGCCCCCAGACTGTGACACAAAGTTACCCACAACAACCCTTTCCTAAGCTGGCATTTTCTGCCAGCTCCCCTCTGGCTGTACCAGGCTCCATAGGACACACACGGGATGGGTACAGGTACCTGTTTTACCCTGGTTTTACCCAGAGAAGCTGTGGCTGCCCCATCCCTGGAAGTGTCCAAGGCCAGGTTGGACAGGGCTTGGAGCAACCTGGGCTAGTGGGAGGTGTCCATGGCAGGGGGTGGCACTGGATGGGCTTTAAGGTCCCTCCCAACCCAGCCCAGTCTGGGATTTCAAGATTCTGTGATCTTCTGAAAAGCAGAATCCTGGCTGCTCAGGACACAGCCCTGTGGCACCTGTTTGCCAGTTTGCCCTGACTAATCCCAGAGGAAGGTACTGGTGTTCCCCCCTTTTACCCCTGAAACATTCAGAACCAAAGCCAGGGGAGCACTTACTGTTCTTCTGCTTCTTCCTGTCACGAGGGGGCTCCTTCAGAGCTTTGATAATCAGAGCAGAGGCAGAAGGAACAACCTCTATCTAAACGGAAAGAGATTAATTCCCCCCCATCCTACACAGAATTTCAACACTAATGAAAATAATCAATCCATCAGTCATTTAGCTCAGCAAAACTAACTGCCAGAGCAGCGTGGGTTGGGTTAGTTCCCTCACACACCAGATTTTCTGGGATGCAGGCACCTGTTCCCAGGTTTTCGGCACAGGCCTCCCCACATCCAGGGGAGAACTGCTTCCTGCCTGGGGCTTCCTCTCAGCTCACCACTGGAATGTACCAGCCACGGAGGTCAGGACAGGCACGGTGGCAGGTGGCTACTGGATTAGTTATTTTCATTTTATCTCCCACATATCCCAATTATTTATTTTCCATTCCATGAGTTTTTATTTATTTTTATGTTGCTCAAAATAAGTTTTTTTTGCCGGTTCTGCTGAAGGAACAATTTATCTGTGCAGGAAGCAACAGCAGCATGAAAACAAGGTGACAGCAGGATAAAAATTGAACTTTGGCACATGAGGGTCTCTTCCCATGGACAGGATCCTCCAGCCTGGCTCCACACACATCCCCCACCCACGTTATAAGGTCTTCCCAGAAGCCCCCCACACACCCCTGTGTGGCACTCATTTTATCCACCTCGGAAGGATGAAGGGCTGAGTGGACCCTGCCGGGATTTGGGCCGGTGGCTGGAGCGGGGGGGCCCGGGGGGGCTCCACACCCACAGCACACGCGGCCCCTCCGCTGGCGTTCGGTACCTGCGCTTGCCTGTTCTGGATCGTGAGCTTCACCGTGATCCGCAGCCCCTTCCAGTCGCCCGTGGCCTTGGCGATGTCATCGCCCACCTTCTTGGGGGACTGAGGGGCGACACGGGGCCGTCACACAGAGCTCGGCTTAAACCAGAGAGCCCCGCGCCGCCCCAGGCGTGTCCCGGCTCCTCGGCTCTGCTGTGAGGTCGCTGAACACCCTCTTTTCTCCGGGACCGCCCCCAGCACTTCCCGGGACACGCTTCCCACCTTCCCCTCCCGGGAATACACTTATTTCCCCCTCGGACACGTTTCCCAGGGCCCCATCCCACTGCCCTTCCCGGCGCCACGCTGATTTCCCCTCTGGACTTGCTTCCCAACCCCTCATCCCCCAGGGACACGCTTCCCACTCTCTCTCCCAGGAACACTTATTTCCCCTCTGGACACACTGCCCAGCCCCCTCCATCCCCGGGGACACATTTCCCACTCCCCCAACACCCGCTAGGACAAGTTTATCCCCCCAGGAACACGCTTCCCACCGCCCACTCCGGGATGCGTTTCCCTCCCCCCGGGGACACGCTTATCCCCCCCGGACACGCTTTCCACCGTCCCCCCGCCCTCTGAACACGTTTCCCACGCCCTCAGTCCCCCGTCCCCGGTACCTACCAGCCCCAGGGGTCCGATCTTGGGGGCGAGCGCGGAGGTGGCTCCGACCTCCCCTCCGGTGCAGCGCAGATACACTGCGGGGACAGCGCCGCGTCAGCCGCGCCCGCGGGCCCCGCCACCGCCCCGGCCGCCTCCCGAACCCCCCCGCCCGGCTCGTACCGACTTTGATCTCGTTGGGGTCGAACTTGGGCGGCATCGCGGCGCGGGGTGGGCCGGGATGGAGGCGGATGGAGGGCGATGTGGACTCGGGCCTGCAGGGGCGATGAAAGAAAGTCTGTGGTCCGCGAGACGAATATATACCTGCTAAGATCTCGCGAGAGATCCAGAGCGCGTGTACATGTGCCGAGATCTCGCGAGAGCTGGAGTTTGTACGGCTCTGGATAGATATAAATATATAAATAGAGACAGAAATAGATATAAATAGAGATATAGGGAGATATGGATAGAGATTTAGAGAGATATAAATACGAAGACAGAAATAGAGATATAGATACGGATCTATAGAGATAGAGATATAAAGATGTATAAATATAGAAAAAGAAATAGATATAAATAGATATGGATAGATATGGATACATAGAGATATATAGAGATTTAGATAGAGATATACAGATATATAAATATAGAGACAGAAACATAGAGATAGGTAGAAATATACTGAGAGATAGAAAGATAGAGGTATAGATACAAATAGAGAGATATGGGTAGATATATATATATAGACATATGGATAAAGATATATAGAGATATTGACATAGGTAGATTAGATAGATGGGCGGATGGATGGATGGATAGATAGATGATATATAGGTAGATAAATGGATTGATAGACGATATATAGGTAGATGGATGGGCCAAGACCAATTGTATGAGGGTCAATAGGCCAAGTGCCAGGTCCTGCACTTGGGTTACAACAATCCCACACAAGGCTCCAGTCCTGGGGAAGAGTGGCTGGAAATCTGCCCACTGGGAAAGGCCCTGGGGGTGCTGGTTGAACATGAGCCCAGGTGTGCCCAGGTGGGCAAGAAGGCCAATGGCCCCTGGATTGTACCAGCCATGGTCTGGCAGCAGGGCCAGGGCAGTGCCTGTCCCCCTGTGCTGGGCACTGGTGGGGCCCCCCTTCCAATCCTGGGGGCAGTTCTAGGCCCCTCATCATTGCAAAATGTGGAATATATAAAAATTTTCTTAAGAAAGGCTGTTCTTTGATGTTTGGTCTTTGTAGCTTTCAATCCTAATCAACCAGAAGGGTGATGTGATTTCTGAAACAGCAGCTCAACAAGCTCTGAGTGATGTCCAGGTGTTAGAAAAATAAGTTACTTGTTGGTAGAATTGCTCTGTTGAGTTTAGGGCTGGACATGCTTCAGTGATCTCAGAGCCAGGGGAAGGCGAAAGCTTGCGGAGAGGGATGTACCACTGATAGTGGGCACAAAGAATGCAGGATTTACAGGCCATAAGGACTTGTGGTAGAACTCCCAAGATAAGGTAGAAACTAATAAAGCCAACTGAGCAACTGCGCTGAAATCAGCTCCAACAGGGGCAGATCCTGACCACCCATCGAGAAACCCCCTGATCCTAAAGAAGAGAAACACTGAGCAGGGGACTAATTAGCATGAGAAGAGAGAATAATTAATGAAGAGAGAATACTAATTAATTAAAGAACTATGTAACTTGTAGCCAGTGAACACTAATTCGTTTGTTTGCTAAAATGTATAAATAGTAAAAAGTTTTGATAGTCTGCTGTGCTGGCACTGCTGGGGCACCTCAAGTCCTGTGCCCAGTTTTAGGCCACTCAGTTCTGGAAAGACCTTGAGGGGCTGGAGCGTGTGCAGGGAAGGGAACGGAGCTGGGAAGGGGCTGGAGCAGCAGGAGGGGCTGAGGGAGCTGGGGGGGCTCAGCCTGGAGCAAAGGAGGCTCAGGGGGGACCTTCTGGCTCTGCAACCCCCTGACAGGAGGGGGGAGCCGGGGGGGTTTTGGGCTCTGCTCCCAGGGAACAAGGGAAAAGATGAGAGGAAACGGCCTCGAGCTGTGCCAGGGGAGGGCCAGGTTGGACATCAGGGAAAATTTCCTCATGGAAAGGGTGGTCAGGCACTGGCAGGGGCTGCCCAGGGAGGTGGTGGAGTCCCCACTCCTGCAGGTGTCCAAGGAACGACTGGCCGTGGCACTCAGTGGTCTGGGCCGGGTGACAAGGTGGGGATCGGGCACAGGTTGGACTCGATGATCTTGGAGATCTTTTCCAATCCCAAATAATTTCGGTATCTTGTGACAGGGCGGGGCGGTCCTCCGGCCTGCTGGGGGCGCGCGAGAGCCGGAGGCAGAGCGCTGTGGTCTGGGCGAGGCGCTCAGGCCGCGCGTCTCGGTGCCCGCGGGCAGGTGATCATGTGACCTGGCGGTGTCTCAAGATGGCGGCGGCGAGCGGTGAGTGGACTGAGGGGGGAGACCCGGGCGGGACACTCGGGACGGGATCCCCGGGGCGGCCCCGGGCTCCCGGGGGGGCGAGCACGGGCACTGTAGCTCGGTGACGCTCCTCGGGAGCGAGTCGTGCCCGGAGCCGCGCGGTGTTTGCCCTCGCTGACTGTCACACCTTTCCCCAGGTGTTGGGCCGCTGCCCGAGGGCCACGAACCCAAATCCCGGCAGGGCCCACTCAGCCCTTCGTCTTTCCGAGGTTCTGGGCCCTCGGGCACAGAACGGCGCCGTTGTGGCTGATAAAAGGGTGAAGAAGACGAGGAGGACCACGGGTAGCCCCTGGAAGCGCTGTGAGCCTGGGAGGGGAACCCTGCGGGGACCCCTAAAGAGGAGAAGAGGAATAGTGATAATGTGGGAAAGGAAGGACTGGTGAAGACGAGAGATTCGTTTCAGGGAGGCCCCTGGCAGGGACGGGCCGTGGCAGGGGTGGCACAGCTCTGGTGGCAGCCCCAGCACAAAGAACCAACACTCCCGTGTTGCAGGACAGGGAGTTAAAAGCTGCGGTTCCCCCCCGTGCCTGTTCCAGGCCCTGCAGGGCTGGCTCCTGTCACTGCTGGATGCTTGATGACCTCCCTGTCAGGGAGCCAGGCCAGCCTGGAGGTGTCTGGTGACAGCTCTGTCCCCATGGCCAGGCAGAACCTCCCAGATCCAGGCCCTGCCTCACTGCTCTGCTCCTGAATGTATTTCCCAGATGAAATAAAGCATCTCTTCCTTCCACGCCCTCATCTTGTCTGCTGCAGTGCTGTGCTGCTTTTATGATGTCCAGAATGTTTTAAAAATGGGGGTTTGTTCTTACAGAGCCATTTTGCTGCTTTGTTTTGATGACATTTGTTTGTAAAATTAGGGGTTTGGTTTTCTCTTGCTGCCACCACCCAAACAGCTGCAGGGATTGGGGAACACCCAGTGGACATTCCTGGGCCCTTTCTCACCCTGTGAGTGTGTGTGGCTGCACAGACCAGCCCTGGCTCCTATGGGGATGCAGGATTTGGTATCCCTGGGTGCTCCCTGCCTGTCCCAGGCACTTACAGACAATTCTTTCAGGAGCTTAATAAATAAAAACTGCTGTTGAGTGGGTGCTGCTCTCACTCAGGATTGGTGCTGGTCAGTTGAGCACACACAGGCACTGTCACTGCTGGCACAGCTTTGCTCTCTGCGGGTTTGACTTGTGTTTTTTAAGGCAGGTTCTGACATTTAAAAGCTGCTGAATCCATTTAACAAGTCTCTGGTCCTTCATCTTTTGACCAGGGGTTCTTTTCCTGTTCAGTGTCTGCCCTTCAGCCTTCATGTCTTTATGAAGGTAAAAACTTGTGATTTCCCACTATCCCCATGACTGACAATGTCTGTCTGGAACAGAGGACAAAGGGATGCAGAAATCCTCAGCAAAGATTTGAACATGTTCAGCAAAGTCAGGATATCTTGCTGCAGGCACCTTGTCCTTCTGCTTTCCCATCTTTAAATCTTTTGTGGGAGGTTTTGACATTTAAAAGCTGCTCAGTCCATTTAACAAGTCTCTGATGCTTCATCTTTTGACCCCTGATAGGATTCTTTTCCTGTTCAGTGTCTGCCCTTCAGCCTTCATGTCTTGATGAAGGTGAAAACTCGTGATTTCCCACTATCCCCATGACTGACAATGTCTGTCTGGAACAGAGGAAGGTGAGGTGGGTCAAGGGGATGCACAAATGCTCAGCAAAGACATGATGAACATGTTGAGCAAGGTCAGGAATATCTTGCTGCAGGCACCTTGTCCTTCTGCTTTTCACTTTTAAATATTTTATGGCAAGTTTTGACATTTAAAAGCTGCTCAGTCCGTTTAACAGTCTCTGATACTTCATCTTTTGACCCTTAATAGGATTCTTTTCCTGATCAGTGTCTTCATGTCTTTATCTGTTTCCTTGGGTGAAAACTGATGATTTCCCACTATCCCCATGACTAATAATGTCTGTCTGGAACACAGGAAGGTGAGGTGGGACAAGGGGATGCAGAAATCCTCAGTAAAGACTTGGACACGTTTAGTAAAGTCAAGGATTTCTTGCTGGAGGCACTTTGTCCTTCTGCTTTTCATCTTTAAACCTCCTTTTGTTTCTGTCTGTGATGTCTGACCTGTGGCTGTGGCCCTTCATTGCTGTCCTGCATTTCCCACCTGTAGCTCCTGACAATCGACTTCCCCTCCTGCTCAGCCCTCTGAATTTTGGCTCTTCCCTCCCCTCCTGAGAGGAGCTGAGTCTGAGGAGCATTTCAACAGCCTGAAGTGGTTCAAAAGGCAGGAACTGAGATGGCAGGGGAAGAGCCATGGAACTGCTGGAGTGTGATTCCAACACACAGAATGAGTTTGTTTGTAACCACTTTGTGCTGTGGCTCGTGGCTTGTTCCAGTGAGAGCTGTGACAGCAGGACAGTGACTCAGGATGGCTTTGCCTCCTTGTTTCTGGAGTGAAACCTGGATGAGTGGACTGAAGGGATGTTTTTACCTTTACACAAAGGATTTATCTCCATAAAGCTCTGGGCAGTTTTTGGCAGAGCTCTCCCTATACAAGGAACGTTCCTGGCTGGATCCTGTGGGTACCTGCTTTTCAGTGGAGTTTGGGACCAGTTTGCAGGCACAGAGCTGGCAAAGAACCAGCTCTTTATGTGCAACATGAGCTCACTGTGCCAGTTAGTGCTGAACTGAGGAAGGAGTGACTCTTTTATATGATTAGATGATTTATATGATTATTAACAGTGTTTAAAAAAGTCATTGCAAAGTGAAACTTGAGTGCAGAGTTCCCAGTGTGTGTCTCAGTGAGGGCTTTGGGCAGCTGGAGCCCT